TAACTCGGGCGCCCAAACTCTTATTTGCGACTACAATGGGTTTGCGAGTTGCTTTGTGGCGGCCTTTCGGGGGCCCTTTGTGAGAGACAATGTCGTAACTGTCGCCGTTTCGAGCGACACTGTCATCCTTGATGTGTGCTCCACTGTACTAGAAGGAGCGACAGTGTGATGTGATTCGGTCGCATTGAGTGACAGTGCCATCCGTTTCCCAGGGGTGGGAGGGGCAGAAAAGACGGGAGGCGACCCGCATCCGCTGCAAACCGCACCCATTGTAGTCGCCGGTCTTAAGTCGGGCACGTCCCTCTACCAGGAGGGATCTTTCATGAGCAAAGAAAGTTCGGAGACGACTCTTCGACTATGTTTGGCTATTTTTCGGGGGCCTGTTCTGATTCTGTTTAACTTTTTGCCCGAAATCCGCCTGGTACGGGGACATGCCCGACCTGAGACGACTCGACATAGTCGGATCAGGCAGTGACGAAGCGTCCTGGCACACCTGCAGGCCCACCTATAGGCCCACCAAAAAATGTTCTAAGAACCTGTTGTGGTCTGTGGTCCGCGCGAGATGTTCTGAGAGCAGTTCCGGCCGAGACCGTCTTGTTTCAGCACGCAGGGTCCATGTTCTAAGAACCGTGCTCTTGTCCTTCGAACACTCCTGGGTCCCAACATCATCTCGCGGCAGGCCTCTGGGCATGCCGGGACGGTCGGCCCCGTGCTCAATTTGGACCCCATCTTTTTGCGCCGGTCTTCGAGCCGGCTCGATCTGTGAGGGTCCCGGGGCCCGAGGTTGGGCGGAAGCGCCGGGCCAGAAAAAACTTGAGTCGCATGGCTCTCAGGGGAACGACCGCGCCGCCGCGCGCCTCCTCTCCCTCCTCCTCCTCCTTCCTCCTCCTCCTCCTCCTTCCCCTCCTCCTCAGGCTCCTCCTCCTCCTCCTCCTCCTCCTCCTCCTCCCTCAAGCAACTTGGGCTCAAGCATTTTGCCTGAGCCCAGCCTCTGGGCTTCCTCGCAGCGCTTGAGGGACCTTGTTTCTTCGCCAGTGCCAGAGGCGAACAGACACTGACTAACACAGAGGCATCAATCATGGCAGGTGTTGACAAGCTGTGGAGCGGTGCAACCACTGCCAGACGTGTGAATGGAACGCAATTCTCCTACGCCGCCAGCTGGCCTGCAACAAATGTGGCTCCACAGTGGACTTGTACCGCGGCAGGAAGCGTGGAGGTCGGTTCGCAGCGGCAGAAAGTGACGACGAGCACTTCTACGACGCGACCAGCGATAGTGAGGGTGAGGATGCGAAGCTCCGCAAGCCTGTTCCCCTTGGCATCCTTAAGAAGGGTAACCTCGGTGGCGGCAAGGGCGGCAAGGGCTTGTCTGTGCGTGGGCTGCTGTTACAGGCGGTGGAGGCAGCCAAGGTCGACGACGAGCTGAATCGCGACCTGGAGAGCCAGCTTGCGAAGCTGGAGCAGGCGGAGCAGAACAGCAAGGCGCAGCAGCTGTCCCCGTCCGAGGCTCATCGCCGTGCGGACGGGGTATGGCGCAATGCGGAGCACGTGCACGAGCAGGCGGTCGCCTGCGGAGGAACGGCTGCGGAGGAGCGAACAGCAACCTGGCGGCTGCGGAGGCGAAGGAGCGGGCGGCGGCCCGCTCCCTGGCAGAGGCGGCTGACGCCAAGAGGGCCGCCACCACCGCCCCCGCGAGGGCAGAGGGTGTGCAGCCCTGCGCGGCGGCCGAGCCAGGCGAGCGGGAGAAGAAGATGATCAACGTGGAGTGGGACGAGAGCTTCTTCTCTAACCTCGACGAGCTCGCAGCTACGCAAGGGGGAGAAAAAAGGCCCTCGAGGTGCTGAGGGGCCAGATGCAGCAGGTCAGGTCCCGCCTCGAAGGGGAAGGGGCCGAGATCCAGGCCTGGCTGACCAAGATGGCAGAGCACAAGAAGACCATCTCGGAGCGGCTGGCCAAGAAGAGGAAGTCCAACGAGGGCGGCGCGCAGGCCCAGGCCACAGAGGCCTCGGGCGGGGCCGCGGGCACCACAGCAGGTGGAGGCCCGCCGCCCCCTGCCGGAGCTCCTGGGCCTGCGCCCCCTGGGAGCAGCGGCGCGCCCGAGGCCACGGCCGAGTCCGACGCGGCCCGCGAGGAGGCCATGAAGACCGAGGCCAGCAGGCTGTCGGAGGCGAAGTTCAGGGCCGCGGAGCTGAAGAGCAAAGCGGCTGGCAAGGGGTCTGCGGCGACGGCGGTGCCGACCAACGCGGACTCGCCTGCCAAGCATTGACATGCAGGAACAGGGACCCCTCGGACCTTGACCGAGGGGGCGTCAGAGGACAGCGGCAAACGGGACACTACGATCTTTTATGCCAACGTCACCAGCCTGACGGACAAAGCATGGAAATTCATTGCGGCCAAGCCAACAGCGTTTGACCATTCTGCAATTGTTGAATCGCACATTCACCTGGGCTCTGAGCTCAACAAGCTGGCCAAGGATGCGAAGAAGCTCAATCTTCGCACGGCGGTCAACCCTGCCCTGCCCGTCGCACGCAGCGGCCTGTCTCGATCTCCAACGAGCCGAAGGCCAACGAGGGCGGCGAGGTGTGGTTCAGCCAGAAGCATCTGGAGTGTGGTGTCTTGGGTGAGGCTCGCGCAGCTGCGAAGCATCTACGGGCACCAGGCTCGAGTTCACTGGATGGCTTCCTCCCCATGCTGCTCCAGCAGCAGGGCTACGCCATCCTGGTCATAATGTTGTACGCGTACCCGAGTATTGGCTTGTCAGGTCGCAATCGCGAACGGTTTCGCAAGTTGGGTGGCCTCCTGAACTCAATGCGTATGCCTTGGGTGTGCATCGGGGACGACAACATGCCGCCATCCACGCTGGAGAAGTCCAAATTTCTGGAGCGTGCCGGGGGGGCAATTATCAGAACGGCTGATGTTGCGGGCACGTGCGCCAAAAAGTCAGGGGAGGACAGCATGCTTGATTGCGTTGTAATGAGCCCGTCGGCTGTCTCGTTTGTGAAGGATGTGAAACCAATTAGAGATGTGGCGTGGAGGCCCCATATAGGCTTAGCCATCACATTACGCTCGTCGGGTCAGCACTTGCAGACGCGTGAGCTTGAGCTGCCGTGCCGCCTGCCTCAGCCTCCGAGACCTCGCGTGGAACCTACAGCTGGGTCCAAGTCGAGCGCTGCGAGGACTAAACAGATTGCAGCGAGGCACGCGGCCCATGAGAAGCGAGTTGAGTTTTTTTTGAAATGCAGTTTGGGGACTGCCTTCAGGACCACCCTGGGCATCATGATCCCGCTGGTCAGCTGCACCAGCAGGGGCCTGAAGAGGACCTGGACCCCGAGTTCCTGTTTCACCCCGATTTTGAAGAGGACCCCTGGGCCAACGAGCTCAACTTCTGTAGTGATGTGCGGCTGCCCAGTGTTCTCGATCCTCTGGAAGAGCCCTCGGGTCAGGTCCCTCTGGAGCTCCAGCAGGCGGGAGAAAAAGGGCATGTCGGTCCTCAGAGTCGAAGTTTCGGAGGTGCGTGAAGCCCAGCCCCCCCCCCCACCCCCCCCCCCCCCCCCCCACCCCTCCCCCCCCCCCCCCCCCCCTCGGATCCCCCAAGTAATCAGCAGCAGCAGCTTGCCACCAGCCTGAGCCCTGAAGCCAAGCCTGAGCCCTCTTTTGACGTGCCCGTGGAGACGTGGACCGAAAGTAGGAGCCAGGTTGGATTTCAATCAGGAGCCTCTGTGGTGGCAGCGACCTCCCCCCACCTCTCCTCCTCCGTTGCCTTTTCGCTCGAACCTCAGCATGGCGCACTTGTTTCTGGCGTGTATGCTGGCTGGGCATCGGCCGTTGAGAGGGCCATCCGTATCCATCATGACATCCAGGCCAGCCCTGGCGCCCCACGGTCAGAGGGGCCCAGGTTCGTCGAGCGCCCTCTGCGGACGACGGCGCACGCGCGCCAGCTACCGCTCAGGGACCAACGTAGCCATTGGTGGACGCGGGTGCGCACAGTTCTAGGAGGCATATCGCGCTACCGTTCACGACAGAATGGAACGATGCAGCTAGATGAGCGTGCTAAGATTTGTGGCCAGTTGTGTGGTACGAGGACGCCGCCCAACGTCCATGCGGCCTGTCGACCAGTGGATCAGCCTTCTCAAGAGTCCCTTGACGACGACAGCCCCTATTTTGGAATCCTTTGTTGGCAGTTCGAAGAAGTTGCAAGCGCGGGCGCAGATATCGGCTGTGCGCGAATCCATGCGCGATTCTAAGCAGTGGGTAACTGATGACCCCAGCGCCAATGGCATACTCCACGAGGCCTTGAAGCAGCAGCCGACCCCGCCCCCGACCTCGAGGTCGACGGCAAGGTGCTGATTCACCCTGCCCAGGTTTTAGATCAGAAGGCGCTGGCATTCAAAAAGTTGCGGGCGCCTACGGCTCCAGACTTGGGGGAAGTGCGCGAGGTATTCCGCGTCGTCCGTGAGGAAGCGCAATGGGAATCACTACCAGAAATTACAGTTGAGCAGGTGTATCGGAGTGTGGGGGCTATGAAAGCCAAAGCTGGGCTTGGAGTTGATATGATGAGCCCAGTTGGTGTGCAAAGATTACCTTGTACCGCCATTCAGGAACTGGTACTGCTGTACCACAGTATTGGGCATGTCCTGGCCTGGCCAGTTCAAGCACTCCTCGTGGTGGGGCATCTCACCCCGAAGCGTTCGAGCGGAGTCCGAGCCATTGGGATCATCCCCATGCTGGCCAGGGTGCGGCCTCACATCCGTGAACCAGGGGTTCGCCAATGGTCAGCAGAGGAGGCCCAGGCGTGGGCCGCGGCGGTGGCAGGCAATTCTTGCCTCAAGGAGGCTTACCTCCGTGCCGTCGACGAGGGGCTGGCGTGCACGATGGGGCTCCAGTTCGGCCATGGGCTGCTGGATGTGCAGGAGTTCTACGGCGCGATCTCCTGGCTGCCGCTGGCCAAGGCGGCCCTCCGCCTCCGCTTCCCGCTAGTCATCCTGTACCTCGAACGGGTGATGTGCGTGGCCACGCGGGCCCTTTCTCTGGAGGGGGCAGTGTCGGCGCCCTTCGAACCGTGCCAGAGTGCGGTGCAGGGGTTGAGGTCAGGGGCGCGGTTTGCCAGAGTGTTAACCCATATTGTCATGCAGGCAGTGACGACTGCGACGCCGATGATGGCACATAGGGTTTGGATCGACGATATATCACAAAAGACGACGGGCTCACGCCGGGCAGTGAGGACCAACCTTATCAAGAGCGTGGTCAAGACAGGACGTGAGTTGAGTAAAGTTGGGCTCAAGCTTGCCAAGAAGTCTGTCATTATGTGCACCACTATTCAAGATGCACATATGGTCGCCAAGGCCATCAAGCTAGAAGGGTTCGTGGTGAGAGTGGTCCAGCAGGCAGCATATCTTGGAGTTGATTTTTCGCGTGGGCGTGGTGGGCGTGCTACCCGTACCCAGAGACAGGAAAAGCATAAGCGTATGAATGGCAATATCGTTCGCTATTGTAGGGCAGGACGGCGGTATCAACATCTATCGAAGCTGGAGAAAAACGGAGGCCAGCCTGCGGGCACATATGGCTTTCAAATCCATGGTATTTTTGGGGAACAGTTGAATATATGTCGCCGCAGGTTGGGGCAAATATGCGCAAGTGGAGTCCGCGGTCGGTGCTTGGCGACCTTGCTGGATCTGAGGGCACCGTCGTGCGACCCTGGGGTCGCGTACCCAGTGCGCTGTATCGACGCGTGGATGAGCACGCGGCAATCCCAGCCCGACCTGCGGAAGAGCATCAAGTACGCGTGGCCGCGGATTGTGTCCGAGATGCCTAGCAGGCCCACCGAGGAGCAAGTTCGAGCTGTCAAGGGGCCCATCTCGGCCACTTTCTTGACACTGCTCAGGCTCGAGTGGGACCCAGTCAGCACCTCGGTGTGGTCCTACGCGTCACAGCGCAACACGACCGAGGAGTGGCAGTTCCCTGAGGAGATCTTCACGGGCAACAAGTGGCTGGACAATCACCGAGGGCTTCTCACAGATGTGAAAAGTCTGCAGAGCTTATCCAGTGGCGCCAGGCAGCTCGGCACCACTGTGGAGGGGGTATGGAGGGCGGTGTGGGCAATGAGTCGTCCGGCTCCTACTGCGCCAAGTCTCGCAGCTTCCTCGCGGAGTGCGGCTGGCTGAGATCTTGATCAACATCGCCACGGGGGGCTTTTGGACGAAGACGAGGAAGCGCGAGGAGCTCAGGAGTTATCGCGGCAATGACATGTGCGACCGCTGTCGAGAGCACCCCGAGACCCCGTGCCACCGCGCTTGGAGCTGCTCCAAGAACGCTGGCGCTCCCCCGTACACGGCGACCGAGGAGCTGGTGCCCCAGGCGCTGGCCCAGGTCAACACGGCGGGGCCTCATGCCGCCCCAGTGGCTTGAGGTGACGAGGGCGCCGCACGATGACCAGTGGGAGTTCGTCGGGGTAAATGAGCTCACCCAGGGCGTTTTTGGCGAGGGGTCGGTGACAGCACCGATTCAAACCTACGGCGACGCCAGTGGAGGCGTCGACTCGGCCATGACGAGGCTAAGGAGAGTGGGCGTCGCGATCGTGTGCACGGAGGCCATCATCCCAGAGCTGCGCATCACAGGGGCGGTCTTTGGTCCGCTGCAGGGCGATCGCCAAGTCGTGCCGCGGGGCGAGCTGATGGCGCTGTACCTAGCGATATGGACCACGACCAGATATTTGACGTACACCACCGACTGCGATGCCGTGGCCCAGGGATGATATGAGAAGCGTTTCGAGCAGCCGACGGGTCTAGACGCGGACCTGAGGCAGAGGATAGGAGTTATCATGCAGACACGATCCTTTTGTGATGTTGTGGCACTTTGGACTAACTCACACCTTGGACCTGCTGAGATTTTGGATGGAAAAGGCATGCGCTCGCTCGTCATAGGCAATACATTGGCTGATGAGTTCGCGGGCTTTGCCGCGGAGAAGGCCCGCCTCCCCCTCCTCCCTTGCCTGCTGCTGCTGCGGCCTTTCAATCTCGTCACCGTCTGGCAGACAACCAGAGGAAATGCCTTAGATGTTTTGGCTCGGCATCTGCCGACACTGTAAAGGAGTTCTGGGCGTCCGAGTGTAATCCCCTTTATAATGTCAATGGGGTCATTTTCTCTCCTAGTAAGGGGGCGAGGGTCCATATTGCGGGGGGCTGGGTTCATACTACACACACACACACACACACCTTGAATGTACATGCGTCGCTTCAGGTTTGGTTCTGTAGTGTGTGCGGGGCCGTCGCAGATAAGGCGATACGCTCGCTGAAGGCGCCATGTAAGCTTAGATTGTCCAGGCACGGAGGGGAATGTCTTGACAGGATCCACAGGGGGTCACAGCCCAAGGTCCTGAGTCGAGCCGAGCAATCGGCTCGCTCGAGTGTCCCACCCAGGTCAGGCTAGGCGAATACGAAGTTGCATCGCAACGGGGTCCACTCCACTCCTCCTCCTCCTCCTCCTCCTCCTCCTCCTCCTCCTCCT